AGCGCTACAGGTGTCCGTTATAGCCTTATAGGTCATTTCGCAAATGTGCGTTCGAACTCGCGACAACTGCAGTGACGCCAACAGAGTTACCTCTAGGCTATCAAACGTCTTGTGCTTTCTAACATGCTTTTTTATTTTTGTTCGTATCTACAATCGTGGGAATCCTTTGCTTTTGGGACGCTTCCTAGCCGGTTTTTTCAGGCTCGCTGGTCTTCGGGGTGGTTTTATTCCAGTTTATTTATTTGTTTTTAATTTCTTTTCTTTTTTAAATGTTTGTTCATCGAATTTGTTCTTTTTATTTTTAAATGATGAATTGTTTTCACTTTTTTGAACTTTTTTCAAATGGGATGAACTGCATTCAAATTCATTGATTTCTTTACAAATTCGATGAACTTTTTCTTGGATGATTTTTTTCAAATTCAACGAACTATTTATATTTCATGAACCTTTTTCAAAACAATGAACTTTTTGGCAAATTCGATGAACATTTCTTCAAATTTGAAGAACTTTTTTTCAAATCCAATTAACATTTTAAAAAATTGTGAACTTTTTCTCACAATCGACAAACTTCTTTCGGTTATGACGAACCTTTTCATGTTTTTGAACTGTTTTTATTTTTTTGTCAAATTATTTTCAGATAATTAATACCATATATACAGTGTATATTTGTGTAGTACTGTAAGAAGGGTCAAATAGATCTATTTTTCTAGTAAATGGACAAGGAAGGTAGCTTGGTCTAGTGGTAACAGCGATAGCCTGTTGGTGGTCACGTCATGAGTTTGAGTGTCAAAGTTTTTTTTGCTTTTCTTCAGCAAGTTGCTGTGCCGGCCCAGTACGAGCTCCAACTGGCACTTACAGCAGGGCACGACTATTCCTCGCATTCAGCGAGACAGGGGTGACCACTCGCTGAAGCCAAACACCACTTGGGCGGGCCCACGCTCGTGGGATACAACAGCCTGGTTTTTTTTACTTTGTTTATAACATTCTACATATATACATATTAGGAAAAACACTCTTCAAAAAACACATTTGAAAAATGTTGAATGAGTATTTGAAATTTTTTGAATGAATATTAAAAAATGTGGAACGAGTATTTGAAAGACTTTGAACAAATATTTGAAACTATGAATGAGTTTTAGAAATGTTGAACAAGTATTTAACAAAATGTTGAACAAGAATTAGAAAAATTCTGAAATAATTATTTAAAATGTTGAACCAGTATTTGAAAAATGTAAATTAGGTATTAACAATTTTGAGCCAGTTTTTTAAAAAAATATTGAACAACTATTTGAAAAATATTGAACAAGTATTTGCAAAAATGTTGAGTGGGTATTTGAAATTTTTTTGAAGAACTATTTGAAAAAATTGTAAAAGGTATTTGATAAAATATTGAACAAGTATTTGACAAAAAGTTGACTGAGTATTTGAAAAATTGTTGATCATGTATATAAAAA